CCTGTCGATGGAGCATTCCTCTTGAACCGATTTCCAGATATTAAGTACTTTGGGGCCGCTTATGTCAATCTCCCCCTTTTCTCTTTCTTAAAAGATATCTCTGCATGCGTTTTGCTCCTCTGTGTCACCTTACCTTGGGTCCTGGCAAGCCATCAGAACCTGGAAAGCCCCGATTCCCAGGAGGACCCTATAGAATCAAAGCATAATTTTTTATATCTGCACAAAATTGCACGCAAATTTAAAACGTGTATCATTACGATTCTCAGTTAATTACTATTCTCTGTTCATAGTCATATGCACAGCAGTATGTATCAAGGAGCTGATAACTGCTCATTTCCCCATTTCTAGTACACAGACGTTGGAGGCGCCTTTAATAGAGCTGTGGAAGCTCTCAATGGATGCCCGCAAGCGGTGATGGACAGGGTGAATCTAGACGACGATGTCTTGCAGGGAGGCCCTAAAGGATGAAGAAGTAGGATTGTCAGGAGGAGGGAGGATTATGAGCGGGGACATTGGGGGACTGCAGTATCACATGCACTGCTACATCATTTCTGGTGGAAAAACTGGAGTGATGTAGGGTAGTTCTCCTAACAATTCCTAGAGCTACCCTATGTCACTTCTAGGATTTCACTGGAAGTGACGTAGCGGTGCATGCGATACTGCCGTTAAAAGAAATCATCCTGCTGCCAATCAGAGAGGCAGCTGGCAACAGGAGTTGGGGGCAGGGAGCCCCCGAGTCAGGGTAATGGGAATCCCACATATAGGAGTTGTCTCTCAGTTTGTAGGGTATGGAGTCACACTTGACTTGACCTCCAGGTCATTGACTTGACCTCCAGGTCTTGAAAAACTTCCACTGCCCATTTCCAAAAATTAAACCTCTATTACAGGGGCAGGACATTTCTCTCCAGATCTTGCCGTAAACTTATTCCAAGTCAGTGTGTTCGAGGACAGGATGTAAGGCTGGCTTAAGGATATGGGGTCGGATCCTACCAACTTTCATCCCTGTGATCTCCCAAGAGGTTATGCTAGGGATCATGGGATCCATGTGGACAAAACGTTCTGCAGAACATGGAAGTAGTGAGGAGGCAAACTGGGTAAGACTGCCACTCCTCTGTCTCGTGCCTGTGGGAAAACTGAAAGGATCCAACCCATAATATCCATCGGTTCTTCAAATATTTCAGCTATTGGCTCTCTGCCTAAAAGGAACAAATAACCCTGACCTAGATGGCTCATGCTAGCCTGATCTCATCAGATCTTGGAAGCTAAGCAGGGTCGGCCCTGGTCAGTATTTGGGGGGGAGACCAGCAAGGAAATTCAGGGTCGTGACGTGGAGGCAGGCGATGGCAAACCACCCCTGAATGTCTCTTCCCTTGAAAGCCCTCTGGGATCACCATGAGTCTACCATGATTTGACGGCACTTTCCACAGCCACCAGGAATAGTGGGCCAGATCCAAGATGGCAAAATTGTGATTTTAAAAGAAATCTGTTATTTCAAATCTGGAATCGAGGCGGGTGGGACAGAATGTTGTGTGTTTCAGTTCTATCTCATGAAAGCTGCATTGATGTAAATTAGTAGTGAAGTAGGATGGAATCCCACTGTTCATCATGACCACGTGATTTCAACAGAATCATTATGTCAACGAAACATCTAGATTCAAAAGCCTATTTCGGCTTGAGCCATTGAGCAAATGTGACACATTGACAAATTAGCTATATATGTTGGAATAATCAAGGGGGGGGGGAACATAATTTTTCAAACTTCTTCCCCAATTTAAAAACAAAACAGGGTATCTTTGGCCATTTTAATAAAATACAATTCAAAGAAAACGGCACTGTTCTTTGGCTTATCCTATCCATATGGGGCCTGCTGAGAAACCGGAGAGTTCTAACCCCTAACTCCACCCATTGAATGGACTATACAATCACAGTTAGTCACATGTGCTTTCACAAGAGATAGCGTCGGTTTCCTGTTTCAGTCTTCACAGAAATTTTGCTTTGGTTGTCGATAGCCCTCTAACTTTACCAAGGATGGCTCCAAACCATTCCTAACATTAGGGAACTGGAGCTAACCCATCAGGGGCTGCAGATTTGGGGGAAACCATTAAAGAGGAGGTTATTAAAGCAATTAGTAAATAATTTAATTTTTATTGTCAGTAACAACCACACCAGAATTTTGTGTGTATGTTGGAATGACCCCTTTGGATTTCCTGCTTCAGGCAGCCAGACATCTTGAATCATTCCAGCGAAAGCCCCATTTGTAAGATTTTGGCTTTTCCAGTGACCTCTTACCCTTTCTCCCACCGGTCCCAGAGGACCAACCGCTCCTGGATCTCCACGGGGACCTCTTTTCCCTTCTTCACCCACAGGTCCAATTGGACCCTGAGGGCCATGTGGACCCTAGAGGAAAAAAAATATAACATAAATATCACATAAATGCAAATGCCCATGATTCAGTCACATCGTAGTTCACAAGATGGAAACCAGAAGGAGCAACGACTGTTTAGAGAAGAGAAGAAGAAGAAGAGATTGGATTTATACCCCGCCCTTCACTACCCAAAGGTGTCTCAGAGCGGCTTACAAACTCCTTTCCCTTCCTCTCCCCACAACAGACACCCTGTGAGGTAGGTGGGGCTGAGAGAGCTCTTGACAGAAACTGCTCTTTTTCAAGGACAGCTCTTATCAGAGCTATGGCTTGCCCAAGGTCATCCAGCCAGGTGCAAGTGGAGGAGTGGGGAATCAAACCCGGTTCTCCCAGATTAGTGTCCGCGCACTTAACCGCTACACCAAACTGGCTCTCTAGTTATGCTTTAGAATGCAGCTTGCACCTTTTTCTGGGTTCATCACTAGATAAGGTTTCATGAAGCAGCAAGATCTGAATGGACATCATCCCACAACCATTCTTTATCCTTGTTTGTTTGCTGGCACAGAGTCTGTCCATCTGGAGCGCTGGCCAAATAGTTTTGCTGTAATTATTCACTTGTCTGGTACTGCATATATTTCCCTTCTGACAAATCAGATGTTCCTGTATATACAAACTAAACTAACAGTTTCGACTGTGTTTTTGAAACTCAGTGCCTTGTGTATCAAATTAACAGAAGACATCTGTAAAGAAGGGGGAGTCATTGCTTCAGTTTTTCCACACGATCGGTTCCCTACAGAACAGCTCCAACCGGTTTATGGGTTGCTAGTTAGGCACTGACCCATAGCACCAAGATGCAAGTGAGAGTCAGTGAGGATAGGATGTTGGACTTGAACTGGCTTTGGGCATGGCCCCTTTTGATACACAATACGTTTGGCCACAAGCCAGGTCGGTGGAGCCCTTCGAGTCTCTTTTGAAACTTACTTCCCCAGCAGAGCCAAATTCAAACTGGGACCATTGTTCCACTAGTGGAGGGGGCTCCTGCCTTCCCACCCCGTGCTGTTTTCTTGACCCCAAGAGTCCTCAGGGGACGTTATTCAACCATTTGTGGGGCTCCACATACACCAAATGTGGCCCCCTCAAGGGGTATTATACTGTGGTTTGTTTTTCAAATTCCTCTTCTCTAATGGTGTCTTCCAGTTTTATTCCATTGTTCATTCTATGAATTATACTGGACTTTACGGAATAGTTTTTGTCATTCACCTTGAGTCTCAATGAGAAAGGTAGGTGATAAATGAAGTAACTAAGTAACAATACTAATGGGAGAACATGATAGATTTGTTGGTGGTAAGCACCGTCATATCTACAAGCGACACAGGGTTGCCATGCATGTATTAAAGATATCCATGAGCAAGATTAAGGAAGGCTCAGCCCAGCTCTACAGATGCTGATTTAGAAGGTGACCTCCACGAGACCTTCTGTTCTATTGGGAAGCACAGGAATGCAGTCCTAGTCTTGAGTTCAAATATTTTTCATTTGGTAATTTGTCCCACAAATATCAGTTCTTTTTTTCTATGTTCAAGACCTTCCATAACCCTGAAAGGAAAGTGAAATGCAAGAGGAACGATGCAATGAAACTACAAATGATAATAATGAATGAAATGTTTTTACTTAGTTTGAAAAACATCCTACTATTTTTTAACATTATGGGGGAAGTGTAAGTCAGCACCCTCCTGCCTTTCAATTTGGGTCGGACATTACACTAGCACAGGGGTTCCCAACCTTTTTGAGCCAGAGGTGATGTCATTGCACAGGGCAAGTCACGCGGGGACACTCTAGCATTTTGGGGGGAAACTCTATGGTAACAATCGGTTTTCCTCAAATCTTAGAGCATCCCCCGTACAATGTGCCCTGTGCGATGATGTCACTTCTGAGTGATGTCATCGCGTCACATGCACTTCACACATGTGCCGGAAGACTCCAAGAAGAAGACTGGAGCCCCCTGCTGGAACGTGGTAAGGACCTGGCAACCCTAGCAGAGCCAGCCACAAAATGGCTGCCGCAGCTTACCTTCTGTCACACAGTGAACATCCTTGTGCTGTGGTGGCAGCTGCTGCCAAAGCAATATTTTTAAAAATCCATACAGGCAATCAAATCTCCAAAGGCCAATCAGAAGCCTTGCTGGGCAAAAGCCCCACCTGGCCCCACTTGGTGGGCACCAGGAACGGTGTCAACGGGTGCCGGGGCACCCAAGGGTACCATGCTGGGGACCCCCGTGCTAGCAACTCTATTTCTGCAGAGACTCCCAGAGAGGCTTTATGTTTTGGTCTAGAAACCATCCTTTCCCAGCAGTGCAGACTCCTTCAAGATGCCAAACAGCGACTTTTAACAGTAATTGCTAAAAACTGCAAATTGCGTGGCTTGCATTTGTTTTACTAAAGAAATTAAAAAGTCAAAGGAAGCACACACATTGAAACGAGCACGTGTCGAAGGAAACATCGCTTTTTAAAAGAAGAAAAGAAATATTATTGGTCACATATTTTAACACTTACAGGTTCTCCTTTGGGGCCCGCTTCTCCTTTGAAACCAGGAACTCCAGGGTCTCCCTGAGAGCAAATATTATCCGTTAAAACAGCTATCCGCACTGTCATCCATTGTCTTCCTTTCCTCAACTGTCCTTCATGGTCCTCCTCTCCTCCATTTTCCTCCATTGGCCTACTCTCCTCTAATGTCCTCCATTGTCCTACTCTCCTCTTGTCCTACTCTCCTCTAATGTCCTCCATTGTCCTACTCTCCTCTTGTCCTACTCTCCTCTAATGTCCTCCATTGTCCTACTCTCCTCTAATGTCCTCCATTGTCCTACTCTCCTCTTGTCCTACTCTCCTCTAAGGGCTTCCATTGTCCTACTCTCCTCTAATGTCCTCCATTGTCCTACTCTCCTCTTGTCCTACTCTCCTCTAAGGGCTTCCATTGTCCTACTCTCCTCTAATGTCCTCCATTGTCCTACTCTCCTCTAATGTCTTCCATTGTCCTACTCTCCTCTAATGTCCTCCATTGTCCTACTCTCCTCTTGTCCTACTCTCCTCTAAGGGCTTCCATTGTCCTACTCTCCTCTAATGTCCTCTATTGTCCTACTCTCCTCTTGTCCTACTCTCCTCTAATGTCTTCCATTGTCCTACTCTCCTCTAATGTCCTCCATTGTCCTACTCTCCTCTATCCTCCATTGTCTTACTCACCTCTAATCTCTCCTATTGTCCTACTCTCCTCTAATGTCCTCCATTGTCCTACTCTCCTCTAATGTCCTCCATTGTCCTACTCTCCTCTTGTCCTACTCTCCTCTAATGTCCTCCATTGCCCTACTCTCCTCTAATGTCTTCCATTGTCCTACTCTCCTCTAATGTCCTCCATTGGCCCACTCTCCTCTAATGTCCTCCATTGTCCTACTCTCCTCTTGTCCTACTCTCCTCTAATGTCCTCCATTGTCCTACTCTCCTCCACTGCCCTCCACCCGATTTCTCTTAATGCAATGGTTTCTGGGACTTACATCCAATATCTGCAGGGCATAAACTAATCCCGCAGCTGAGTAGCAACGGAAAACGTTCCAGCCAAGGCACCACCATGTCAGTATATTTATGATGTACATAAGTTTTTTAGTTGCAAATTAAAGCTCTTGCGTATTTCGTAAATGTGCCTCTGTTATTCTGTGAGGTCCCCTAGAGTAAGAATGGGGAGCAGCCATGGCTCAGTGGGAGAGCCTCTGCTCGGCATGCAGAAGGTCCCAGGTTCAATCCCTGGCATCTCCAGTCGAAAGGACCAGGCAGTAGGTGATGCGAAAGACCTCTGTCTGGAACTAAGGAGAGCTGCTGCCAGTCTGAGTAGACAATACTGACCTTGATGGACCAAGGGTCTGATTCAGTATAACACAGCCTCATATGATAGAGGAGGAGGAGGAGGAGAGATTGTATTTATACCCCACCCTTCACTCAAGAGTCTCAGAGTGCCTTACAAACTCCTTTCCCTTCCCCTCCCCACAACAGACACCCTGTGAGGTAGGTGGGGCTGAAAGCTCTCTTTTGAGGACTGCTCTTTCAAGGACAGCTCTGACAGAACTACGGCTTGCCCAAGGTCATCCAGCAGCTGCAAGTAGAAGAGTGGGGAATCAAATCCATCTCTCCTAGATTAGAGTCTGCACACTTAACCCCTACACCAAACTGGCAAACATCATTCCATAATGCTCTTAAACAGTCTTGTTTGTGGCTAATCCCTGCCTTCTCCAGCACGATAGACACCTTACCATTTGTCCTCGAATGCCAGGAGGGCCCGTGCTGCCTTGGGGTCCGTGGGAGCCCGGTGGACCTGGGGAGCCGGGTGGTCCTGAAGTTCCTGGAGATCCCTACGAAACAGATATATGGTTGACCCGATCTACAGAGTGGAAGACAGGACTACTTGTATGTCTGATATGATCAGGCCTTGACCTGAATATAGGATTGACAGTTCTGAGTTGGGAAATTTTGAAGGTGCGGTTTGGGGAGGGGAGGGGAGGGACTTCAATGGGGTACGGTGTCATAGAGTCCGTCTTCCAAAGCAGCCATTTTCTCCAGGTGACCTGATCTCTGTCACCTGGAGGTTGGCAGTCCTACTTGGATGGCCCAGATTAGTTCGGTCTCCTCAGATCTCAGAAGCTAAGCAGGGTCAGCCCTGGTTAGTACTTGGATGGGAGGCCACCAAGGAAGTCTAGGGTTGTGAAGCAGAGGCAGGCAATGGTAAACCACCACTGCTCATCTTATGCCTTGAAAACCCTATGGAGTTGTCATAAGTCCGTGGTGATTTGATGGCACTTTCCACCATGAATATGATTACTGGTCCCAGGATGTGATCTGAAGGCACCCAATGGAGAAACCGTGCTGCAGCTAAGGAGGTCTGGGTCTGATCAGTTCCGTGGAAGAAAGATGGGACATCAATGTAATAAATCAAGAAAATACTTACCGATGGTCCTTTTGTGCCCGTGGAACCATCTGTACCAAGAGTACCCTAGAAACAGCACAACGTTTATCATTATAGGCAAGTTTCAGTCCAGAATTTAAAAAAAATAAACACAGAGAAATGCTTCAGCCTCTCCTGCGCCCTTTCTTTCAACAAGAAGCAAAAAGCAGAGAAGGTTCAGTTTGTCTGCATCCATTGCTGACATTTCCAAACTTTGGGGGGTTAGATTTTTGCTTACACTGAACAGATGACTTCAGCCCTCTAACTGTAAATAAAACCAAAGCCAGAGAGGTGGACTATGCTGCTCTATACAGAAGTTATTTGCATACATCAAGTAACTATCTGTTTCTTTGTGTGCATGTATATCTATATTGGGGGCAGCCAGTGCGTACGTGGGGGGAGAATGCTTGGAAACAGGAGGGAACATCGGCAGCCATCCTGACATGCTGATGTCACTCCCTGTGCACCTGGAAGTGATGGTAACACGTTCCCCGGGGGACCCCAGTTTAAACACAGAGTGTAACCCAAATGCCAGAGCTGTCCCTCGCAATGTGCTGACAACACTTCCGGGTTCGTGGGAAGTGATGTCAACACATCGCCTGCAACTTCACTATGTTGCCAGTGAGGGCCCCCACTGCTGGTACGTTCCCTGCCTGTTGTGGGACTTCTCAGGAGGTCCCCTCCCCGGCCAGGCAACCCATATATGGAGAGGGAGACAGAGAGAGACAGAGAGAGACAGAGAGAGACAGAGAGAGACAGAGAGAGACAGAGAGAGACAGAGAGAGACAGAGAGAGACAGAGAGAGACAGAGAGAGACAGAGAGAGACAGAGAGAGACAGAGAGAGACAGAGAGAGACAGAGAGAGACAGAGAGAGACAGAGAGAGACAGAGAGAGACAGAGAGAGACAGAGAGAGACAGAGAGAGACAGAGAGAGACAGAGAGAGACAGAGAGAGACAGAGAGAGACAGAGAGAGACAGAGAGAGACAGAGAGAGACAGAGAGAGACAGAGAGAGACAGAGAGAGACAGAGAGAGACAGAGAGAGACAGAGAGAGACAGAGAGAGACAGAGAGAGACAGAGAGAGACAGAGAGAGACAGAGAGAGACAGAGAGAGACAGAGAGAGACAGAGAGAGACAGAGAGAGACAGAGAGAGACAGAGAGAGACAGAGAGAGACAGAGAGAGACAGAGAGAGACAGAGAGAGACAGAGACAGAGAGACAGAGACAGAGAGACGGAGAGAGAAGAAGGAGAAGAAGGAGAAGAGATTGGATTTATATCCCGCCCTTCACTACCCAAAGGTGTCCGTATAAAGATTCCTCGATATTACTAAGTAATTTCAAGAAGTATGTATGGTAAAGGAATATGGCTGCATTCAGGCGGACGGTTTGGCCCAATATAGCTGCGTTCCTGTAATGGATTAAACAGGCAGAGTCAGACAGCCACATTCATTAGCCATTCCCCAGTCATACTCACCTCGTCATACGACGAGTGGGAAACAGAGTAAATAGACACCACGTTAACAAGCGGTGTTTTTGGTCCCCCGCACATTCATCACATGTGGCCGGATGTCTGGATGTGGGGGAGCGCACGCAGAATGGATTGGCAGTCTGAATCTGCAGATCCATTTCCGTCACTGGGGGGTTTGGAATGTCTGCCTATATGTGCATATGTGCATGACCGCATATGCGCATGCACCTGCCTGCATTTTTTAAAAAACGACCAGACAACTTAAAAACTGATAAATCACCAGGCCCGGATGGCACTTGTGGATCTCCTGACAAAAATATGTAATCTTTCATTAAAATCTGCCTCCATTCCTGAGGACTGGAAGGTAACTAACATCACTCCCATCTTTAAAAAGGGTTCCAAAGGAGATCCAGGAAAGTACAGGTCAGTCAGTCTGACTTCGATACCGATTAAGTTGGTGGAAACTATTATTAAGGAAAGAATTAATAGGCGCATAGATGAACAAAAACTATTGAGGAAGACTCAGCATGTGTTCTGTAAGGGATTATCTTGTCTCACTAACCTGTTAGTGTTCTTTGAGGGAGTAAACAAACATGTGGACCAGGGGGACCCAATAGATGTTGTTTACCTTGACTTCCAGAAAGTTTTTGATAAAGTTCCTCATCAAAGGCTCCTAAGTAAGCTCAATAGTCACGGGATAAAAGGACAAGTCCTTTTGTGGATCAAAAACTGGCTGATTACTAGGAAACAGAGAGTGAGTATAAATGGGCAATTTTCTCAGTGGAGGGTGGTAAGCAGTGGGTACCGCAGGGATCAGTACTCAGTCCGATGCTTTTTTTTTTTTTTGAAGAAGAAGAAGAAGAAGAAGAGATTGGATTTATACCCCGCCCTTCACTCAGAGTCTCAGAGCGGCGTACAAACTCCTTTCCCTTCCCCTCCCCACAACAGACACCCTGTGAGGTGGGTG